CCTTCCAAGCCCTACCACTCTGTGACTAAAGCCTAGAATGGTGACCTCCCCTCATGTTTAGTTCCAATGACATTCCTGTCCTGCATGCTTTATCAGAAGTAACTGTTCAAAAATTCACTCTTAAAAGGAATTTCCATCTATGTGTAAGTAATTTGATGTCAGTCCTTTTTATCTGATTCTCTGCCCCATGATGAATATTTCCATATCCAAGAAGGTAGGAATGGATATCAATTATCAAATCTTACTATGCTTGCCCAGATAAATCGCACATTTCCTATACAAAGTCTGTATCACATTTCTTCCAAATGAACCTTCATAAAGGGCATTTCTTTGACAAGATAATGAAGTTGCCATCCCTTTAGGTTTAATCTCATCTCTGGATGCATTGTCACGGTAATTTCTATAGTAAACTGTCAGGTATGAAGGCTAGCAAGGATTACCTAAACTGCATCCAATTGGTTTTTATCACCTTTTTTATAGCAAATAATCCTATATACAATAATGCACTGTAATTGTGTCAATGACAGTAATAAGGAACATCATCAGCTCCTTTATTTCATTTTTACATCATTTTTTTGCATTTTATATTAAGTCCATAAGAACGCTCCACAGTTCACACTTATATCGCCTGTTGTATTACTGCATTCTCTCACCAAGTGGAGACGTAATTTTGACTATAATACAAATGCATAATAATAACCGTAACTGGGAAAAAAAAATCATTTGAAATGACTTAACTCACCAAGCATAGTAGGATATATATCCACAAGAGATACCACATTTGGTACTTGCTGCTGTTCTTTTACGCCTGGCCCCATAACCAGAAGAGGAACATGGGAACTTCCTTCATACATGCTCATTTTATAGAACTGCCGGTGTTCCATAGCCAGTTCTCCATGATCCGCAGTGAATATAATGATTGTTTCTTTAAGAAGTCCAGTATCTCTCAGCGCTGAAATAATCTCTCCTGAAACAAGAAGAAGATACTGAAAAGGATACCTCCTAAATACTCCTTCCAACTTCTGTACCTGCAAAGCACCAAGCAAACCCCAAGGAATCCTAGATGGAGGACAGGAAACACCTCTTTCTGCCACACAAGGCAGAGCTCAGAGTGTTCAGCCTGGAATAACGTGCAGTCATCAGTGAGTTGCAGGGGTCAGGCTCCCAGTGAAGTGTGGAGGTCACTGAACAACCTCCATAAAAAATATAAAAGGCAAGTATGCAGCACAGATTTTTGCTGTCATCACTTTTGTTTAATTTCTAGTGCAACTAATAATAGCTATTTCAACAGCAGTAGAATAGGTGGGCAGAAGCCCTGACACTACATTTAGGGTGAAGTTCTCTGGACAGTATCCACCTTATACATAATCAATGGAAGTCTCTCCTTCCTGGGCCTACATCCCCTCAGGAGCCCCTTGCACACACATTTGTGCAGCAAAGACAGCGCCGAGATCAATAAAGTTGGTAACGAAGCAAAGCACTTACACATCTGTAACGTTAAAACACTAAGATGATTCTTGCTTCAAGTTAAAAACTTTAAAATAAGGCTAGTTAAAAACTTAAAATATGTTACCATATTAAACCCCAGTGCAGACACTCTGGAATACCTTCACTCTCTAGAGCTGTCAGGCTCCTGTTCATCTCTTCTCTTTCATAACATGTGGAAGAGAAATTCTGTGTCTTTTAAACTATAAAGTAATTCTAATGTTGCTAAAAATCATCTTACTTATTAATGAATTTCATACTAGAATGCAAGGAAATTCTTGTTCTTTCATATCACTTTTCAAATTAAGAAATAAAATGCTGTAAATGAGGACCAGTTTGCATTGTAATGTTTATATATGTAGACCTTACTGCAAACAGGAAGATTTCTGAATGCCTAATCAGTTTTTTGTTTGTTTTTCTCTTAACTTTCAATAATATGCCGCTAAAGGAGACTTCAAAGGTAACCTTGCTGTTTAGTCTATGTGTAATAGCTGTGATCCATCCTGTGCACTTGAAATCAGCCTCCAAAGAAACTGCTTATTCCCTAAAATTTATCCTTCTGTCCAGCTTTGCTTTGCTGCCCTGCCCCCTTCACAATTGTTTCCATTATTTCAGCTGCCCCTTAATCAGAATATTTAGCTCCTCTTGTACATGGGCCAAGCAACATTTTGCTGCAGTTACTGGGCTTTTTACAGGGCCTCTGTCTGGTGGTTGTGATTACTTTTCAGTGCTCTGACTTCACCTTGCAGTAGCCTTAAATTTATCATATAGACTAATTAAGCAACATCTATGTGACTTCTCTCAGATCTGAACTGTGAGTCATTTTTTGGGGGTTTGTTTGGTTGGTTTTTGTTTTCCCCAGAAGAGCAGTACTATCAGCATTTTCTTAAAAAACTCAGAACAAGAAAACCCACTGTATAATGAAGCATTACCTACCCAGCATGGCATCTGTCTCAGCACACATAGCATAATAAAATGCTCTAATATTTCTCACTTCTTGCTTTGTAAACTCTCCCGTGCAATTCTTGGTGTAAGATGAGTAATAGTCTACTGGATGCATCTCTGAAAGAGAAGACCACTTGGGAATTTTAATAGCTTCATAAGTTACCTAAAAATAAGAGGAAATTAACATTAACTTAGCAAGTACTTAGCAACTGAATTAAACATTTTTCTTTAAAACAGATATAATTTAAACTTTTTAGTATAAATTCACAGTTCTCAATTTGTGGTCCAGGAAACACCAGCTGCTTATCTGTTACATGGTGCTGTTACCTCCTCCACATTTCCTCTCTGCTTCCCCAGGTAACAAGTAATTTTAAAAGAGAGCTATAAAAATCAGCTAGAAACTAAGGCTAGGGGCCAGAAATACCTGATTTACCAGCTGATACATTTTTTAAGAGAGATACCACAGAACAATCTCCTAGAACTGTACTCTACAGTAAGTACAGAAGTATTTGCATATGTCTCATTAACTATAGGGTAACTATAATCCCTGTGCATTGAAAAGGTAGGGTGTTACGCTATCCTACAGAGCAACACAGGAATTTACTTAGTCTGGTAAGGTCTCCAGGACACCAGATGACAAATCTTGACATCTTGATAAAAAAAATTCACTACATCAGTCCAGTTTTCTAGTATTGCTACAGATGTCAATCTATTTAGTTACAAAGATCAGTTTGAAACCAAAAAGTAGGAGCCAATCAATTACAAATGCTCTACTTGTATACTCAAACTGGTGTGCTCACAGATATTGTGTGCTGCAGTACCAGCTTTAGAGCCTCAAAGTTTGACATACACATTTAGCCTACACTGTCACTCATCAGCATTCGCTTAAGCGCAGAATTTAAGAAAGTTAATTCTATATTGTAGACTAAAAGGACAAATTACCACAAAGCAGAGAAGATGTAATCTCAGTATGGAAAACTTTAGTTTATTAAATAATAAACCCACACCTATTGTTCTCATGTACCTCTTTAAAATCTCCTTGAACAAACAGAGCTGAGGCCTAGATTATGGCACAGCAACTCTGGTGCCTGTGCAGCATGTTCCCAGGGCTGCGGCCACAGCTCCACTCCTGGGCTGGGCCTAAAACTGGGCAGCACTAGTTCCTGGTAAAATAACTGAGGCATTTACTATCCAAGGGGCTCCACGCAGCACAAAAGCAATCGGTCCCTTGAAGCATTAACATCCCTGTTTATTGGTAGAGCAA